ATACGGTAGCGACACGACGGTACGGGTGCTTTGAGCCACCTGCAGCTGGACTGAGATGCAGGGTGGCCCAAGCAACCTGGGACCAGGAAACACCTAAAAGAAGTACCTGGTGAAACAAGTAACTCTTGCAATCCGTCCTTCCTGCAATGGCTACTAAACTCAGGCTGTGCTTGCTTTTCCCTCGTTCCTGTTGCCCTGACTTGGATAATTCGGTTTCTTGGCTGTCTTTAAGGCTAGGGACATAAGTTACACATAAACCGGTTTAAGTGACCAAAAATTGGTGTAAACCTGTAACAGAACAGAAGTTCAGTGCACATCAACCAGTTTCAAAATGGCCAAAACTGGTTTAAGATAAACCTGGTTGAATGTAGTATCACACTTAATTGATTTAGGTCAAACTGGTTTATGAAACTTCTGTCCCAGATCCCTCCCTGGTTCAAGCTGAATCAGTGTCCCCCAGCATCCCAGGATGCTTTGCAGCCCTGGGCTAGGCAGTGCTGTCTGCTCCAGAGAGCAGGGTTGGCCATGCCCCTCTGCTCTCTAGCTGGAGCAACGAGGGCTGGCTGATGAGTGGGTGGGAAACCTGGCTGGGGACTGCAGCTGGGTCTGTGGGGGGCAGCCCCTACCAGGCTATGCCCCACTTGACACTGGAGTGGAGGGGGCAAGGGGCTTGGAGCAGGGCTTGGGGTGGGGGAACAGCCTGAGAGGGACTGCCAGCAGATGGGGGGGCCAGCAGGAGACCAGCAAACTCCACCCCCTCCCGCCTCTGGCAGAGCCTGGGGCAAGCGGTCGATAAGGGGAGGGGGCATAATTCCCCATAGGTCTCCCAGGCCATGGGGGAGAAAGAAAAGGCTGGGGAACTGGGGCTGCATGCACTGGTCCCCTGCCCCCCGTGAGCACAGGGCCAAGCCTTGCAGGACCAGACTGAGGGCAGGAGTGTTGGCAAAGACCTGGCCCAGTCGTCAGAGAACTACATTTCCATTGTAAGGCAGAACCTGTGCCAGGCGGGAGACGGGAACACCGAACACCTAAGCAGAGACAAAAGACACTGAATGCGCAAGCGTCCTGGCAGAGGTGCGAGAGGTGACACGCGTACTGTCGAGGCACCCAAGGGGGAGAAGGGGGTGCAAGCGTGCCTGTAAAAACCCAGGTAGAGATGAGGCCTGTGGGATCTCCACTCCCACACCGAAGACCACCTGCTGGTTCCCCAAGAAGGGCTTTCTGAATACTTGGCTGCAAGGAGACCTGGTGCCCTCAAGATTATATAAGACTTATGCAAGGCTTCCTCTTGTCTTTTTGGTTTACTGCATCCCATTTCCCTTTTAAGTTAGTTGAAGCCATGTGTGCTCGCACTGTTTTACTGGGCTGTATCGTAGCGTAGGCCAAGATTTTTGGTTGTTCATTGTTGTGTGCTCGAGGCTGCAAAGTGTTGTGTTCAATACATGCTCGCTTCAGAGGAAGGACTGTTCTTGTTTAAGCTTTTATGAATCCAATGCCACTACCTTTTTCCCCCCCCATCCACCCCTTCCTCAGCCTGGCAGCAGTTACCTTCCCCCCACCTTGAGCAGGGTGGGCAGAAACCTGGCAGGTATTGCCCCTCCCTGCCCAGGCAGACCTTGGGCCTTGGGCTGGGCCATGCCCCTCCACTTGAGCAGGGAGGGGGGAAAAGCCTTGGGCCTTCAGTCCCTTCCCCTTGGCAGTGGCTGGCAGACATGCTCTAGCACCTCCCCAGCTTCCAGCTTGAGCCACTGCAGGCGTATAGCTGCATCTCCCGAATCAAAAGGGAACGTCTGTTCACTCGCTTCTTGGTTTAATCTCTGCTGCTTAGACTAACCTGCAAAGACTGAATCGATTCAGCCTTGGGCTTTTTTGACTAGCTGTACTTAGCCCAAATCTCCCACCCCTGCTCATGTTAAAGCATGCTGGGCTCAGCCCAGATAAAGTAAAATCTTATGAGATAGGAACAGGTTTCCTCACTTGACCCTTTTGCCACGAAAGGTGGGCCGAACTAATGCGTGTAGGCATTTTCCAAGCCAAGCACAGCCGACTTCTGTGTTCCTGAGCAATTGGGTGTTTACCCTGGAACAAGTGCCAGCTCCCAACAGCAGAGACAACCCCTCATGTGCAGGCTGCAGCACCAAGCCCAGGTGTCTCATGCTTGCAAGCCTGAAGGAGGATTAAAAAGGCGGGGTGGGGGTGTGTCAAGATGGGGAATTACCTTTGTGTGAAGTCTACAGGTATTTATACTTGCTCACTTCTGGCATACAGATTGGCAGGGGCTTAGTCTAGCCCGGTACAGATTTTTCCTTTGCTTACAACTTGGCCAAACTCTCTGCAGCAAGCCTAAGGCCAGACCTGTTGGTCATCTAAACATTTATAAAAACCCAACACTTCAGGCCTAGAGAAAGCCAACTCGCAGGAGGAAGAAAATAGTTTGCCGACTCATAATGCTGGCTACTGAACAGCAAAGGCTTTAGCAATAGGATAGTAAAATAATTTTGGGGCCCTACTGTCTATGAAATTCTGACCTAACCTGAGGAGACAGATTAACATAGGTAAAGAGGGATAAGGCAGAGATGCACCTGACCTCTAGCAAGACTCAATCATAATCTGGGTTAGCGTTGTGTGGCATCGAGAGCGCTGGCTTCCCGAGAACTGCACCTGCTTATATCGGTTCTCAACTGGTCTCAAATGAGGAAGAAGTTGCAGAATAAATCCTTGCAACAGGTAAACAGGGCTAGAGCTTAACAGGAGAAAACTTGATGATGCAAACATGCAAACCCAAGGTGGTGCTCTAACCCGACATGGATGCATCAAAGCCTTCCAACGTGCCTCGGGCTTCAGCTGTGCCATCTTTCCAATAAAACCCAAAGTTAGTCAACTTGAAATGGTTTCTTTGGGCACAGGGCAACCTAGAAGTGGGTTTTAAAACAAGGCTGGCCTTAATTTCCTCCAGATAAGCAAAGAGGAAAGTTATATTTGAGTGGTTTTCACAGGTATTTATGACAGCCAAGTCCCAAGTCAGGCAGCCTCTGGCCTTCAGCCATGCATGAGCAAAACCCAAGTAGGTGAGAAATGGCAGTGAAGTTCTTGCATTGGGGAGGGTGGCTCACTGGGTACTCCCTTTGTAACAAGTTGGTTGTCACAACCATCACCTCAGGCATCTGTCGGAGGCCATTTCTAGAGCCTAAAGCCCATAAGCTCTAGTTCTAAGTTACAAGGTCCCTCCCAGGATTTTCCTTCTACTGTGGATTACAAAAGCTCAAGTGGCTGGAAGGGTTGAAGCCAGCGATTCTTAAACTTTTTAGGTTCAAGGTCCCCCTCAGAAGACGACAGCTTTTTGCTTTCACTCACTTTTTGAATATAGAAAAATGCTAGAGCAATTCTGCCGCTGCCAAGGACCCACCATTCTCAGAAACATCTTGATGCGACGGGCTCCTATTTGACTTCTACGGGTTTAATCTTGTGAAGCACACGGAGGTGTTTGCGCACCCAATAGTGCTAGTATGTAGCGCCCCACAACACCCTGAAAAGGATCTCCTGGCACCCTGGGCGAGAATCACTGCTCCAAACCAGACGGCTGTCCTCACGCGAGGCCGGAATCGTCTTTCATGATCGTACGGTGGAGTTGAGCTCCTCGTGACTCAGTAGGTGACAGCTGCTCATTACATTCAGGAAAGGTTCAAGACCGTATTCTGCATTTAAGCTCGCCGCAAGTGCTGGCTGCTTTTGGTGCTTGGGACCTGGTATCTTCTAGACTCCCGCCCCATGATGGCCTACTGTCAGCAGTGTACACCGCCTTTGAAGAACAACACTGAAGTAGTTATTTCTTTTATGAACACTGAATTGAACTTTATAAATCTGGAGAGGTTGGCGATTTCATTCCCAATGGACAGTTGAGGGGTACAGAGATGAGGGGAAGCAGAATGAGTTAATGTTATAAGACGCATCGCATTCCCATGACAAGCAATTCATGTGTTATCCCGTGCTCATGGCTAGAATAGACAACACGTGTTGGCCCTTGCACCATGACCGACAGCAACACGCCACACAAACTCTGAAATGTTTATTAAGATCCAACTTCAGAACAACGGCTTGGAACACAAGGTAATGTGAAGTAGACCAATTTCTAAATTGATTTCTTTTTCTATGCATAAAAGAAAAATCGAGATTATACAAAAAAGAACAGAAAGTGCAGAACACAATAAAACAGTTTCTCATGCAACAAATCTTTACCGTAAATCAGAAAATAAGCTCAACAGTGTAGAAATAAAAAAAACAAACACATACATTATGCTGTCTACTCACTCAAACACATTCATCTGTGACGTTACTTTTCTTTATCCCTTTTTCCTCATAAAACTTATGTGTTTAACACATGCTTATAAACATCGCTAAACTCAGCAAGAGCTATTATAGTGCCCCAACTTAATAAGTTGATAAAAAAGTAGTTGTCATATATGGCCAGTTCACAATGGAACTAAATATTTCTTTTTTCATTATGAGATGCCTATATGCAGCTTTCTATTAGTGTGAGGCATTTAAAATAAGCTGGTCATTTGGCTACCAAAAGGTTGTAGTGTCCATGTTACATCAGAAGGAGAGATTTGTTCGGAGTGAATTGCAGGCTTAATTAACTACAATCCTGACGTAAGCTAGTGCTGGTGGGTGCAGATTCAAAGCTAACGCTCCGCATAGCAGGGCTACATTCCTCAAGCTCCAACTGGGAGATTTTAACAGTAAAAAGAGCCCGAGCTGATCAAATTGAATCCAGGTAATGGATTTCCTTGAATGTTTTTTTGGGGAAAAAAAAAAAAATAGCTCAGTGACAGTTTGCAATTGCTTTTTAGGTGGACAAAAGTTGCACCAACACAAGTGTGTGCTTGCTGCTGCCAATTCCTTTGCTTCAGGGTTAACCAGGATGCTGTGTGATGCCACAGGTTTTCAGGCTCCTGCGTCTCAGCAATTCTGTTCTTGCCAGGAGTTTGCAGTTCTTGCCAGCAGTTTGCAGATTGGAAAGGCAAGGTGAAAACAAGACAGGGCTGGAGGGCTGTTTCGGTCTAGAAATCAATAAGGATAACACAAAGTCTTACGGGGAATTGTCTTAATTTATATCGGAGGCAAAACTGAGCATCTTAGTGACCAACTGGTCCTTTTTTCCCCCTTGGCTGATAGAAGCCATGTTAGTGACCCATTATGAAAAGACAATCTAGTCCTTTCATTCTGCTCTAGGATGCTCTCCTTAGCTGGCTGTACTGAAAATCCCATAAAGTAAAATCTAGTTTAATACTGGAGCTAACAGAAGATGCCTCTGCACGATTTTTGGATGCAACATGAGAAATACAAGACTTTGGGGAGCTCCTCTTTCAAGGCAATGGACAATTTTTGAGTTTTGTGGTTGAAGGAAGAACAGCTCCGGGCCTATCTGTACACAGAGAAGTTCCTATCGGGGAACAATACAATTTGGTGTCTCTCACAGTCAAAGACCATTCCTGTGCAGCATTTGGTGTTTGTTGCATTTATTTGACCTATTAACAGAAAGCAAGTGATAAGACAATTGCAAATAAGAACCGCTCATGCACAAGAGATGCTTCAGATGCAAAAAAATGCTACATATCCTCGGAGTATCATGCAAGGTTTTTATTTAAAGAAGCTAAATATTTATAGCTCAGCTTGTGCACTGGACTAAGATGGGGGAAGCTGGAAGAACGCAAGTGAAACTCTTGCCCGGTAGACCACAAAGAGCCGTCCCGTTAACTGCACTCCCGGTAGAGCTAGACCTTGACCCACGGGTGTCAAACCACCAAACCGCTTGCCCATGTAAAACTGCTATGAGGTAAGATGTGAAATGTTGAACAAATGCTTTTGACAGCTGAAATGCGTCTTGAGGAGAGAAATCATCAGCTGTGCTGTGCTGTTCCACCCATTTCCTCCCTCTGAGCAGAAACAGGTGCAAATCTTGAGTACGACCATTTGACCTCCTCCTCCTATTTGGAAATTACTATTAATCCAGAGAGTTGCAAAGTTGTATTAAGGACTTGAACTAAAACCCACTGTAGTCAATACAAAAAACAAAAAAGTCCTGCTGGCTGCAAAGGGTTTCGGGGCAAGACATTGGTTTACCAAGATCTAACATTAGGAACAAGCTGGTACCATTTGGTCTTCAACTACAGGCCTGGCAGTATTGCTACCTCTGCCACAGTATTGAATGATCTGGGATAGCAGCAATTCAAACTAAAGGACACAAGATGGAGAATCCCTCTGCTCTAGCGTCCCTGCCCTTTAAAACAATATATGTCCCACAAGAAATGTGCTCGAGTCAGCCTGCTTTAGCCGTCAGGCCCGAGGAAGAGTTTCCACCCGGCAGGTTACTCAAGAGCTGCCGATTGAGGAAATCCCGATTCCTCGCATCAGATCAGGAGGCTACAATTCGTTTCGTTCTCAGCAAGTCCTCTTAGCTTGGAAACGTGCCATCTTGTAGAAACAGCACACGCATGAGAGGATGCAAAGGCTGTGAGGAGTTTCGAAGAGTCCCGATTTCTACTGGATTCACTGTCATTTCCCCCTGACAACCTCGCAACTTTGGCGACGAAAGACGTGCGTCTTTCCATAGTGACAGTCAGAGCTGTCTGTCTGATCTGGTCTAGGATAAGTCAGATTTTTATTAAAAGCCTAATGTTAGCAAGAGATCTCAAGGAACCACCTCTGACTCTATAGGGATGGGAACGTTCTGCAGAAATGATTGCATCTGTCTTCTGAAATCATCGTTAGCGTACAGCACGGCCCAGCGCTGATGGGACTCTGGTAAATCAATGCAGCAAATTCAATTTTCATTTCCAAAATGGTTACATGAACACACCAGCCTGCTAACAGCACAGCCTAACAAGCCAGTAACTCGCACCAAGAAATGCTTTTTAACAGTACAAAAATCTGATACTGACTTGGGGGCATCTAAATGGTGTTCAGAAATGAAGACTTTTATCCGAGTAAAGTGCTGCAGAGTCTGGAGAAGCGCAGGAAGAATGAAACCCTCAAAGCCTGAACCTGCTGCAGCGTGCATCTTAGATGGTGGAGTACACAGAATAAAATAGACTGTGGTCAGATCAGCAAACCTAAATGGTATTCAGAGCGGCTACACGCAGCTCTCTCAGCACATTCCTCCAGCCACGTTGGTGGGTGCAAGTAGTGCAACCTGATGGAAATCATTTTCGCATTTGCAGATAAGGGGTCTGGTTAGAGGAAGGAAGTGACTGGGCTTGAGAGGGACACTCCTTCAAAAAGAAAGTAAAATCAAAGGAGGACATTTTCAGAGAAACGACACCGGCAAGGGACGCCGCCTCTTTCTGAAGTTGGCTAAGGTACAGAGTGAGCTCCTTTGGTTACAAAGCTGTGCTGCACTGGAATAAAACTCCACACTACAAAACAACGCGCTCACTGATGTGCTACAGCAACTCGCTAAACCAACTCTTTAAAAGCCCAAAATAAGAGTATTCCAAATGTTCAGTTCTTAAGAAAAAGAGGTCTGGCCAACACAAAATTCAACCTGCCCCGACCTGTGGGCTGGGATCCCGTGGATTTGCAATGGGAGTTCTCCCACCTTTCCCCAATAAAGCCTTGCGCGCCCTCAGCCCCCGTGAAGCAAGACGTGATGTTCGCTCCGGCAGTATGGCAAGAGGTAGCTAAACCCCCTCTCCCCACAGTCTGTCTCATCAGCTAACTAGGCCAATGCCCAATATTTTGACTCAAGAGGGTGTTGCATGAAATAATGCTAATTTAAAACTACATTCAAACCAATGAAACGCATCTGTCAAGGAGAAAAAGGGCAAGACTGGCACTAAGAATATGATGAATGTTTTCAAACTGCAATTTTAACACTAATGGAGACTGTAAAACGTGTTTATATGCCTAAGTTAAGAACTACTCGACTGCGTCCACTTAAACACAAAGCAGAGCTTTAGACAGAGCATTTAAAAAGAAATTATTAAAGCCTTTTTAAAAATGTCTAATTAGGTTTATATTTTACAAGAATGCCAGCTCCCATGGTGAAGCACAACACTGCATTCATTATATGTGAGCGCTACCAGGATGCATTAAAACTTAACTGAGATGATTCACTCCTACAGTTCAGTTAATATATTTGTCATAACTGATTTCTTCAAGGTCCTAAAAGGTTTCAGTAGTATTATTTTCTTGCCTGAAAGCAAAATTCACTAAAAGCATTCTAAATAAAAACAGCTGTCACAAGAAAAGTAAGGAAAAAAAATAATCAAAAAACTTTGAAACACTTAAAAAAAAATCCTGTGCAATTCTATGCTTCAGTGCTATGATATGCTACCAGCCTAAAGACAGCTTATCCGCTCCCGGGGGAGTTTGACGCGAGTACTGACTGAAGTCCTTCCACTAAGAAACGAACCTAGATGCCATTAGTAACCTAGCAATGACGTTGGCAAGACTGCATGTTAGCTTCAGATATACCAAAACATACATATTCTCTTAAATACATTGACAATTCAAGTAATTTATTAAAAAAACTGCTTTTCATTTTGAAATATATATATCTATATCTATATGCATCTATAATTTCTGAAGGTATATATTGCAGCATGATTCACACATGCATTTTAAAGGACTGTCGTAAGGAGTCTGAGGCAGCAGAAATATTACAACAAGCAGCTTGATTTGTCATTTTAAAACATGTGAACTGGCTTCGGCCTCTTATACTCCACATGGAAATGGTCACATATATTTCTCGTAAGGACTGGAAGTTTGCTGCCTGTATTTCTAGAAGAGCTTAAAAAGGCAGCTGCACCTCTGAGTTATGTCTAACCCAAGTATCTGGGCATTGCTAACTATTCAAATAGTCGTTTCAAATTAAACTAGTAGCACTCTTCACAGAAAATTTCTTTGCACCGCAGCTATGTCCTGAATCCAAAAAGTAAGGGGATAAAAAGAGGTCACGCTTCAGGATTAAATTCGGAGGCTCCAAGGGACAACAACCCCCATCTACAGGCAGGAACAGCAGTAAATGCCAATGGGCTGGTTAAGGCCCAAAGCTGATTTTCATATCACCAGACTATGCCCAGTTATTATACTGGCAGGTCTCTGGTTTAACTCGTTGCACTGATGCTGTGCCTTCAACTCTGCCACCGTCATTCCCAGCCAGGATGCTAAAGGATCATAAAAAGTGCAATTAAATTAACAACTTCTTTGCCCACTAATGGGCTCCAAATATCCATCCGTGAAGCTGACCTGAACAGATTCCCCTCTCCACAGCAGCTCCATCAAAAGGAGTTGATCACCTTTAAACACCAAGAGAGAAACCCAACCCCAGGGAGTCCACCAGCACGCAAAAGCTCCCAGCTGAAAACTGTTCTGGTGTGTTCCCACGATGCTTATTAAATTCAGCACTCCTTGCAAGTGCCAACCACCTTTTCAGCTGTTCCAACCATGCACCGACCACCGTCAGTTCCTTGCAAACAGCAGATTTGGGAATAGATCTGTCAAATAAAGATTTCACAGCAGCTCTTGGAAACTGCAGTAGTTACAAAGAAAAATGCCAAGTAATTATTGCACCAACAAAAATACAATGAAATCCAAAGTAAAATTAAAATACGGTAGACTGATATTGTGTTTGAGGAGGGAACCACCCCACCGATCAAGATGCCTATGCATTCACTTACAACGCTAGCAAGATCTGAAATGTTCAGGCAAAAAACTGCAAAGAATATGGCCAGAATAACGTTTGTTTTGTCTTTTTCCAATTACAGTCTAAAAATTGCTGAAACTGCTAAGTGTATACACCGTGAACCTGTTATAACGTTTTAAAAACCATGCAAGAATGATGCACCTGCAGCTTTGTAGAAGTTAGCTGAAATCTAAGTATGTGTTCTGAATTTAAAAAAGTAGTGTTCAGAAATGACATTTTCTAGGTTGAGAAAGCGATTAGCACTATTACTACCTGTTCAAACCTATTTCAGGACTATGGAATTTAGTCTGCATTTTTGCACGAAAGCCTTTTTTTGCTGCCGTTTCAAGCAACACATGTTGAAGGTTCTTGTTTCTCTTCCCTTAACAACGTCCTCCCTCAAGCGCTCGAACCACTTGGAATGTGCACGGATGAGAGGTGGCCCCTTCACACAACGGACTCGCTTTGCACTTCCGTTGAAGCGGTCCCTTTCCGTGTGAGCTTTATAACAGTTGGTTTCTCTGCATTCACGCCGTTTTTGTCAGTCGTCTCTGGAGGGCCCAGTCCCTTCTGCTCTTCTTTGGGATCCTCAGTGACGTCTGGGTAAATCACCAAGAAGGTAGCGGTCAAAAAGCCTAGGAAGGATCCCACGGATGCCACCATTGGAATAACCCGGACCGTGCCAACGGCATCCACCACTCCACCAAGCGCTGAGGCCGCAAGGATTTGGGAGATATAAACCTGACATGACAGAATGGCACAGTCTATGCCAAATCCTCGCTTTGAGTTTCCAGGACTGTGGTGAATATACTGAAAAAGGGAAGGAAGACCCATTAGGAAAGAAGAAAAACGGTGACGGGCAAAATACTTAAAGCAATGAATAATCCTCCCAGGATTTCTTAACCACGTCCTGTCTGCACAGGAGGTGAAAGGATAGGGAAGCCAAGGGCAGGGACTAAGAGGACTGCAAACTTTAGTGCATCATGCTGAATGACTAAAGGAAAAGTCGCTTTTGCTTGAAGGTCACGTGGCAATGGGAAGCAACGCTACCCAGGCAGCGCCGAGTAAGAAGTGGGAATGCTTCTATCGGCAGCCACCGTTCCTACTCGCTTCTCACCAGACAGACATGCAGTCACTCTAGTTTACTGGGATACGGCCAGCTTCAATATGGCACTTACTTCAGTCTCACAAATGTAGTTTTTTTCCTTTTTTGGTTAAGCAAAAATGAATGGCCACAGGAATGCTATCAGGATTTTTAAACAAAACTTCAATACAAACAGATGTATTAAAACCATTTATTCCCTTCAGGCTCTCAAACCCATGCACAGCAATACTAAGCTGAGAGTAGCGCTGTCCTGGCTGACATCCAGCAGAACCTTTTTAACTTTCCAGTACCCTGTACCTGCGGTTGTAGCTCCAAACCCTTATTGGAGCACCTACCACATCTCACAAAATGGGAAACCTCGGCAGGCAGATGCACTGAACAAAAGGGTTTGCTAACACTGAAGTAATGAATGTGCGTATTGTACAAGCTTTTATCCACTGCCGCCGTATCCTGTGACCACTGTCATAAGAGGGATTCGCTCTGTATTCCACGTGTATTTAGCTTCTTTAAATGCCTCACTTCACTTAGCACCAGGCAAACTAGTCCCTAACTCAACGTCTTCTCCAGTTCTGTCCAGATTAAGTACCAGTCTTTGCAGTCAAAGGCTACACTGCTCTGTACAAGTCCTGTAACATCGATACCCCAAATGAATGGATTTAAAGCTGAGTGACAGAAGGAAATTTGCCAGTGGTGAAAATGCTCTGTTGTGAAGGAATATTTCACCTACCTCTCTGATATCATGGTATTGTCCTAGAAGCGCGTAGGGGCAGTACGATATACTCATAGACACGATGCCCATGGTGCTGATCATTATCATAGAGACGTACACGTTGGGGAACATCGCCATGACTGCGGTACCAATAGAAAAGCCCAGTGTGCCCAGAATGTAGATCACCCTTATACTAAGGTCGTAGTTGTCCAGATATTTTTGTAATAAGGCTACAGAGAACAAGAAAAAAAAGTGATTAGCCTATACAGGGAAATCGTACAACACTGACAGCCTTTCCTCAATCAGAGGATCAGTCCAGTCATGAAAATGTAGTGCATGCAACATCTATGTGCTCTTGAAGCAGCAAAACCCTTGCAACTCTAACCCCATTTCATTCAACATTAAAATTTACAGCTGTTTAAAATCACTGAGATCACTATAGGATCGTGTAGATGTCACAGATGTGTGCGTGCCCCCCCACCTTTCAAAGAGGTTAAAGTTTCCCTGTCCTCAGCTAGACATTGCATTGTAAAACACTTGGCCAATATAAGGGACTTATAAAAGGTATTTTTTCCCTGCAAGATCTCACAGGCAGGAAGAGAATTCCTGATCCCAAACCCCTCTTCACAGACCTTTAAAAGGAAGGACAAACTGTACTGCAGAAACCACGTGCAGCAACGCGCAGCTGATTGAAGCACGGTGGTTCGGCATGTATTCTCCGAGCACAGAACTGACTCGGTTCTAATAAAAAAACCCTCTGCTAAATTAAACCAATTAGATACGGTTTTACTGTGGACAACGTGTCGTTTTGCATTTTAGGATGGGAGGCCTGGCTGGATTTATATTGACATGCCTCGATAAAGAGGCAGGTCTCCAAGATTTTTATCCGCCACTCACGTCTGTAAATATGCCCACAGATGTGAAGCAAAAGCAGATTGCAGCATGTACAAAATGCTGTATTACCGCATATACTCCGAGTCTGAATGGTAGCTCTAAGGCTTACAAGTGGTTTCTCTGTCATTAGAGAAACCTAGCCCTTGAAGCTTCCCATCTCCTAAGTGCACATTCATCATTTTGCTTTGCAAAACACTGCCATTTAAAAAAAAAAAAAAAAAAAAAAAAAAAAAAAAAAAAAAAAAAAAAAAAAAAAAAAAAAAAAAAAAAAAAAAAAAAAAAAAAAAAAAAAAAAAAAAAAAAAAAAAAAAAAAAAAAAAAAAAAAAAAAAAAAAAAAAAAAAAAAAAAAAAAAAAAAAAAAAAAAAAAAAAAAAAAAAAAAAAAAAAAAAAAAAAAAAAAAAAAAAAAAAAAAAAAAAAAAAAAAAAAAAAAAAAAAAAAAAAAAAAAAAAAAAAAAAAAAAAAAAAAAAAAAAAAAAAAAAAAAAAAAAAAAAAAAAAAAAAAAAAAAAAAAAAAAAAAAAAAAAAAAAAAAAAAAAAAAAAAAAAAAAAAAAAAAAAAAAAAAAAAAAAAAAAAAAAAAAAAAAAAAAAAAAAAAAAAAAAAAAAAAAAAAAAAAAAAAAAAAAAAAAAAAAAAAAAAAAAAAAAAAAAAAAAAAAAAAAAAAAAAAAAAAAAAAAAAAAAAAAAAAAAAAAAAAAAAAAAAAAAAAAAAAAAAAAAAAAAAAAAAAAAAAAAAAAAAAAAAAAAAAAAAAAAAAAAAAAAAAAAAAAAAAAAAAAAAAAAAAAAAAAAAAAAAAAAAAAAAAAAAAAAAAAAAAAAAAAAAAAAAAAAAAAAAAAAAAAAAAAAAAAAAAAAAAAAAAAAAAAAAAAAAAAAAAAAAAAAAAAAAAAAAAAAAAAAAAAAAAAAAAAAAAAAAAAAAAAAAAAAAAAAAAAAAAAAAAAAAAAAAAAAAAAAAAAAAAAAAAAAAAAAAAAAAAAAAAAAAAAAAAAAAAAAAAAAAAAAAAGATACCCTCGTTATGAGCTTTAATTTTTAGCAGGCAGAGTCTTAGTTTAATGGCCCTTAGCCATCAGAAAGTGTCCTCAGTGCAATTCTGTATTTCACTCTACACAGGATCGTTTTACACCGTCACTTCTACTCTTAAGGACCGTCTCCACACCGACTCAGCCTCACTTAAGACGCCCGTTATAAACATTTGAAATGCACGTACAAAAATTTCCTCCAATCTCAATATTTAACTGGAAGGCGAACACTAGTCTACACTAGTATTTAAGTTACTGTCTCTGGAACTAGCTGGATTCGCCTGTTGACAGACTTACCTGAACAAACAGCAGCAGTAGCAGCATAAATTACCAATCCCCAGCAGCCCATCTGAACTCCAGCATTATAGGCATGAAGCTCGGTAGAATTAGAAGGGCCCTGCAAGACAGAGAGAGAGAGATTTATTATTAGGGAATCACAAAACAGGTACAAAGCTGAAACCAGTCTGCCTTAGGTAACATACACTAATTGCTCACCTTGGGATCACCTTTAAAAATGACCTGTCCCATGAAATCTGTATAAAACACAGCTTCAGCAATGATTGAAAACCAGGTTAAGAGGTGACAGACGCAAAGTCTCAGTAGCTCCTTTGGCATCTTTAGCATGGACAACCACAGCAGTCTGACAGTGGTTTCAGTTTCCCCTTCCTCGCTCTCTGTGTCTCCACTAGAATTAGTTGCACCACTCTGATTCCTGTGCCGGTATCTCTGCCGTTGCCTCTTCTGCATGTCATAGATATCATTCATGCTGCGGGAGGACTTTATCAAGACAATGGCATTGGCCCGTCGGAAACGATAGCGGCGAGACCCTATTTTGCCATAGTACGAGAAGGTGTAAGAAGGCTGACGGTAGAACATGTGTCTCCGTCTGCGCATGGAGTTGGAAGTACTGGATGGCTTCATGCCAATTCTAGCATGTCCATTCAGGAGCTCTTTTGGTAGGGAGCCGTTTGCATTTGGGACTTTGCCTACATTCAAGTGATTATCAAGCAACATCTCCTCCTCTTTTTCATTTTCCCTGAGGAAAGCAGACAAGCGGTTGAATTTGGACTTCATAAGTTCCTGGCTGGTGGTGTGGGGTGTGTTTGGGTAGGATGCATCCTGAAAAATGGAAGGCTCAATGTCTTGTAGAAAAAGCAGCTCTGGTTCGATTTCTATAGTAGCATCAGGCATGTGCAGGATAGAATCGCTCTTGCTCCTGACGATATTCACCTCGAGGAAATCAAGGTCGAGGTCTGCCTCTGAACGACCATCGTCAGGGAACAGAGAAGCTCCATATGGATCTTCCTCACTAATTGCATTCAAACGACTGAGGGGTGGGAGACTGCCACTGTACTTGACACTAGACAGCGTGTCTCCTTCTTCATCAATTCTATCCTGTTGAGGGTTATACTGCTCTTCTTCAATACTAAAAAGATGAAGAGCTACGGAGACAGAGAAAATAATGGCTGCAAAGAAGAAAAGTACTTGTTCTTGAGATTTGAAGAGATCGCCCAAAAAGGTCTGTGTCCAGTCAAGCCCTCCCAGCATATAGCCGATTGCTCCTCCAAGACCTGAGGAAGAGAGGGGGGGAAAAGAAAAAAAGGCATAAAATGTTATCAACTGGAAACAGGGATTGACTTAAAGTCTGACATCAAACCACAGCCTCCCTTCAAGCACCACGTGAAGCCTGTGATGGAGATGTAGAAATATGAGGAATTTAAGCAGACAAGGTTCCACTTATTTTGAAGGCAATATGAGCCTTTGATTTCAGGCTGACCATTTAGCAAGCGGCCCGACTTATTGTTCACTGGTTTGTGTTTGAATCTAAAGTCTGGAAATCCAATGCCAGGCTGGAGGCTGTTCTTAGCCAGGTGTGGGGCAAGAGGTTAAAGAAATGAAGACTACTGCCCCTTCTACTAGGCAAATCCTTTCAAAATAGATTTAAAATCCCTTTTAGATGACAACTTTGGACGAGCCCACGCTCTGAGAACGTGCCACCTGCTGGGTTTGTAGATTCATAGATGTTAGGGTCAGAAGGGACCTCAGTAGGTCATCAAGTCCGACCCCCTGTTGCTGGGCAGGAAAAAGCGCTGGGGTCAGACAACCCCTGCCAGGTGCTTATCCAGTCTCCTCTTGAAGACCCCCAGGGTAGGGGAGAGCACCACTTCCCTTGGAAACCCACTCCAGATTCTGGCGCCCTTACCATGAAGAAGTTCTTTCTAATGTCTAACCTAAATTTGCTCTCCATCAATTTGTGGCCATTGTTCCTAGTTACTCCAGGGGATGCCCTAGTAAACAGAGCATCTCCTAATTCCCTGCTGGCCCCCCCGACAAATTTATAGGCAGCCCCAAGATCCCCTCTCAGCCTTCTCTTGCAGAGGCTGAAGAGGAGATCTAGGTCCCTCAGTATCTCTTCATAGAGCTCTGCCTGCAGGCCCCCCAACCATACGAGCGGCCTCCGCTGAACCCTCAAGGTTAGCCACATCCCTCTTGAAGTGCAGCGCCCAGAACTGGATGCAGTACTTCAACTGTGGCCTGAACAGTGCCACAAAGGGGAAGCATCGCCTCCCTAGACCTGTTCATCATACACCTGCTAATGCATGATAAAGTGCAGTTAGTCTTGTTGACCATTTTGTCACACTGACGGCTCATGTTCATCTTGGAGTCAACAACGACTCCGAGATCCCTTTCTGCTGCTGTGCTGCTGAGGTCATCCCCCAGCCTGGAAGCGTGTTGGTGGCTCTTTTTGCCCAGGTGCAGCGCTTTGCACTCGTCTTTGCTGAACTGCATCCTATTTTGTTCTGCCCACTTTTCCAACCTGTCCAGATCTGCCTGGATCCATTCCCTACCCTCTGGTGTGTTAACTTTGCTCCATAATTTGGTATCATCTGCAAACTTGGACAGGGTGCTCTCTACGCCCTCGTCCAAGTCACTAATAAAGACATTAGTGTCCAAGTCTCTTGGTATCGTGCCTCCAGCTCTGAAGTCATGCTCTGCCCCATGGGTTTGCAATCTGTGGCCCATGGGTCTGCTCCCTGTGGTTCTTGGGGCCATGGCCACAGAAATGGTAAGTGAGGGGGGATTTCTTGCAGCCCCACTCACTGCTTATGGGGAAGGGGCAGGAGGCCATGCAGCTCCCTGTACCACTGTGTCTGCTTCTGCTGTGGGAGTCAGGACTCCACACCCTGCGAACAGGGATGGACAGGCAGAGTTGAACCTGTGCTCTTCCCATGCCATGGGGAAATGGAGTGGGGCAGCTCGGTTGGCCAACAGAAGCAGGGAGGATCAACCAATAAGAGCTTATGCTGCTGCTGCTTCATGGATATACAATATTGTGTCTGGGTGCTGGCGGAACAGAGATGGAGAAGCTGAGAACAGTTCTGAGCGGAGAAGGCGGGCTGGGGCTGGGGTGAGCTTGCCTGCGAGGGGCGGAGAACCTGTGCCTGCAGAGACCCTGGCTATTAACAGTACATGATTGGCAAGTAGACCACTGGATGGTTGTGGTGAAAGGTGCAGGCCGTGTGATGTTTGGAGGGCTGCACGTGTGACCTGGACCGGTGATCAAGTTCAGAACCACTGCTTTGGCCAATTGCATCAGTATTTTGTCCCAAACGAACAGATCTCTAAAAGACTTGCTTGGCTTACAACTACGGGACTTCAGTTCTGATGCAGTTTATTAAACATCTCCTCAGAGCTGCATTAAAACCAGTTCTCCTTTCAGTCGCACTGGGGGCAATCCAGACTCATTCCACTGATGTCAATTAGCATCTCCAGGCTTAACAGAGCCTTACGGCACAACCCGGCTTGGCTCACTGACTTGTCGGTCTTTCTAACTTGCATTCTAAAACCTTCAGACCGGAGACTGCCTCAACGTGTGTTTGCATGGGTCAGGATGATACGGATTCATTCAGAATTAGATCTCCAAGTACCTCCGTAAACAATCTTTGCGCTGCCTACAATTACTTTTGCTTTGCCGTGGCCTGATATTCATAGACCTTTCTCCCATATAGCACACCCTCAGCCTTCAGATTAGAGCCACTCTGCCACTGAGACAGGACACCGAGATATGTGGACCTATGGTCTGACCCAGTAAGACGTTTGTGTGCTTATGACAATTGCACGATACTGAATCACGAGGACCGAGTTCAGAAAATATCTACAACTATGAGAGATAACCGAGTAACGAGTCAACGTCAGAAGATGCAAGGGTTGCATGAAATGCATACAAATGAGTTACGTACCAGCTGAGAAGGCATGGATGTTGAGTGCCATGTCCTGTTCCTCGCTATCCACCACATCGAGTAAATAGGCTCGAATCGGCCCTTCTGTTGCATCAGCACAAAAATCCAACACCACCACCCCCAGCACTGTGAGAACTATGCCAATTGGCTGCTTGTCTGGGACGTCTCCAATGGCTAGACCTGTGAACACAAAGGCACCTGTAGGCATTTCATCCAAAGGGGGATAACTACTAAGAAGCAGGTTAATCTCCTTAAGAGAAAGGCAAGTCGATACACTTACTGGAAACATTCCTTTACTGAATAAAATGGCAATTTCAATTCTTTGCCACAGCTTCTGGAAAGGTCTGGGACAGAAGATACAGTTCTTTACGTTGATGAGATGAACACTTTAAGAAATAAATGTCAATCTGTTTGAAGCCCCCCCCCGCACACTTCTCAAAGTAGCGGTTATGTGTCTACCCTGCCACGTTTCAAACATCCTCCAAATGTGGAAGGTACTTTGTGAAAGGCAGCTAGGATAAGAAAAATCTGGATCCTCGGAACAAAAACTACATGCATCAAACCCCTGGTTAAGTGCGGCTATAGCAACTGCATTTCTTGCATTCGGTTTTGCAGACTGCACCCTGAACTTCACATGTGCCCAACTATTAGTACCTGTCCCGTGGGACACCAAGAGGACACCATAAAATGGGGAAAAAACCCCCAAACAAATCAGTTGCTCAAATTGATATTTGTTTTGGTTAAATATTCTTTTTTAAATTGTAAAGTTCCAGAAACAAAGCAGCAAATGAATTTGGCACTGTCATTGCTATATAATAAAAGCGTCTTATGATGATTTTTATGATGATATACGTATAGATCATTACAATAGGACCAATCAGCTTCTGCTGTCGTTGCAAGAGGTCCTCTTGAAGCGGAGCCGCTGAAGAACAATTCCATTATAAAACATTAACTTCTCATCGGGGAACGTTCAAACAAAGGTGTTCATAAAAACCATAATGACTGAAAACTGTCAGTGAGATGCAGGAATTAGAGGTGCCAGATTGTGACACAGCCCTTAAACCAGTGCAATGGAAAACAATCCTGTGGGGAGCTGGACTAGATAATGCAGGAGAGGTTTTCCAGTGCTCAAGAATATTGATTCCTGGGTTTATAAGGAGAAATCTGAAAGCCAAGCAAGAGTGTCTTTTACATTAAACAAATGCCACTGGCAGGTGAGATGCGCCGCTAACATCAGTGCTATTCTTGTTTTGAAAAGCTGGACTATGCAGATAATAGACAGGGCAATAACAATTAAGGCTGTGCCCAGAGCGGAGAGGACCTGTGTGTACTCCTATGCTGGGGAGGTGCTGGCAATGCACTGATGCAATCTTCTAGCTTTACAGCCTGGGCGGCTCTCCTGTGCTCCCTGCCCCTTGCACAGCTCCAGCCACTCAGACAGGCGAGGTGGCACCATTCCCCTCAGCTCCAGGGTGAAAGCAGTGGGGTGGGGTGAAGGCAGGCAGGGAACACGGATGTGCCGACTCCACCTTCAAGGGTTGCAAGGCACACACGAGTGCCTTCCTTTCGTATTGCCCCTCTTGGGACCTTGGCAAGCAGTACTTTTCTCTGCACAGTGGGACCGGGCAAAGGGGTACAGAGAAACTAATGCCATTTTCCTAAACCAGGAATCCAATCTAGATGCCAGATTGTAAAAGCTAATGTCTGAAGATTTCCAACACGTCAGGGCAAGTGGTGAAGCAGCTTTCAGTTGAGGAGCGCACTTGAAGCCATACTGGGAGAAGGGAGAAAGCATTCATAGAAAGACCACCTAGCCCCACTGCACTGCTGGCAAGAAAAAAAGTATATAGATAGCACTTCCATGGCTTCTCCACGGACAGCTCTTGCTTCCGCGGGAGGAAGGGTCTTTTGGAGCACATTTGGCATTAGGCTACCGAGACAGTCTGGTTGCAAAACTATTGCAGTGGCTCCAAAAGTGCTGAAAAAAGGACTCCAAGTTTGAGAACAGACCCCATTCCTTTAGTGCACATTCACCAGAAGATGACAAAATACTGCCATATAAAACGTTAGCTTTCCTCTATCTGCATGGCTTGCCAAGGTCAATAAAAGCTGGCTTAAATTAACATGGAGAGGCCCCTTAAGTCAGAACAGGCTCTCTCTGACAGCAGATGGGGAGAGGGGGTGCACCGTGAGCCTGACATCAAAGGGCGTCTCTGGTCTCAGGCTCGCTGCATCCCAGACCTCCGAAAGGCAAGCAGCTGCCCTTCTGCTTTAAAAGTTTCCAGGGTGCCTGTGGAAATGGCAACTGGGAGTCCCCAGCTCCCTATACCATTGGGCCCCAGGGCACAAGGAGCTTTGAAGACCACATCTGCAGCCTTGGAGTGGAGCTGGGCTGCAGCTCCTTGGGCATCTGGACCTAGACAGCAGGGAGAGGTGGCAGCTTCCCCACCGGGGACTTTGAACACTACACCTAGCAGCTCTGGGGTGGCTGCTAGGACATGGATGATCATGGGCTTCCATGGGGTTAAAGTCCCCAGTGGGGGAAGCCCTTTGGCTTACCTTGCTTCCCAGAGGCTCTGACCTCCCATGTCTGGTGGCCCAGGCAGAGCTGCTGGGCACAAGGTTTTGTTTATCAGTGTTGCCAGCCTGGCCTGGACAGCCCTAGTCTCTAACTGGACCCAGGATGGGGCAGCAAATCAGCTGACTGTCAGCTCACCACACTGGGGACTCGAACCTGCCTTCACGAGGCTGGGGCTGGGTCTGAGACCAACAATCAATCAGCTGATTGTCAGCTTCAGCCCCAGACCTCACTGGTGCCGGTTTGAGTCCTCGGTGTGGTCCCGGAGCAGACAAAATCGGCTGATTCTCAGCCAAGCTGGACCTGTGGGAATTCCTCTTTCAACTTCCTGGTGCTGGGGGGCCAAGTTTTTGATCTCAGGATCCCTTGCACTGCCATGCTGTAATGGCACAACTGAGATCCGATCCCTGATCCCAACAATCATGCCTTCTGCCATGCCACACAGACCAAATTGCACCATTAAACATGTCAGAGGCCTAAACATCAACTAGATTGCATATTAATCATCTCCAAGCATTAATTTTTATTTATAAAGGAAGCTAGTAAAGCATTGCAGCAGGATGCACCCAATGTCTCCAACGAGTCATCGTTTGTTCGTTAAGAACGGCTTATCCTTTGCAATCTGTAGGGTAGTAAAAACAATCCCATAGAGCGTCTCTGAGGCTTTGGGAAGGTGAAATACTGACCCAAGGTTAAACGCCTGGTTCATTCCCCGAATTGTTAAAACAAATCCTCATCTCACATAAACATGGGAACAAAGAGTCATAGGTACAAGGCTCCTTTCCGTTGCATCAACCCAAAGGTGTTGTAAATGTTTCCTTAAATGTACTTGCTGTAGCACTAAATTCACAGAGATTCTTAGATTAAGTTCCCTTGTCAACTATGTTCTAGGGAAACAACTTATTTTTAACAGATTTGATGGGGGCTCGGGAAAAATTATTTTCCCACATAGAGATGTTGATAAACTAATATTAACCGTGCTCTGGACTTTTTCAATACCAGGTCTAAGAAAAGAACAAGAAAAAGTGAAAAGATAATTTTTGAAATAATGCTGGAAACAGGATGTGTCGCCAGATATGCATTAAAGGGAAAATGGATCACAACAGGAAATGTTTCCCTGTGAACAGGTTGCTACACTTTTCCCATGTCAAGAACTGGCCGAATTCATCTTGGAGCCTACAAACATTATGCTGGCAACCGCTGTATTAATGACTCAGTATCAACGGTTATAGTTATTCTTACAGGGCTAATATTTAGCAGAGTACTGTGACTTTAAATTTTCCTTCCTTGTTAAAGTCCGGGATAGTTCACATCTTAGTTACCCAATACAACATGTTAATGTTACACTAAGCAGCTTGTAAGTTAATCAACTGCATATCATGCATATCTTAGATAAGACACTTTATATCAGAGGCTATAGTAAGTAAAATGGGCAGGTGATTTCCCAATTACTTACCTATAACAGAGCCATTAAGGAAAAGTGCAACTCCAAAGAGGACACCGATGGAGAGAGCGAGAATAAAAGGCCTCCGGCGGCCCCAGCTCAGGGTGCAGCGGTCACTGGCCGAACCTATGAGTGGAGTGAAGATCAAGCCCAGGATAGGGCTAAGGAACCAAGTGAGGCTGTAGTACTGCTCAGGAAGACCTAAAAACCAAAGAAAAAGGGGTTACCAGTTATATGCTGTACATGGTACATTGAGATCTAAAATGCAGGATTTACTTTTTTTTTTTTTTATTATATAAAAGGAGTATAATAAAAGAACAGCAGCACACTAATCTGTTGCAACCCCTCACCCAAGGGCACACCTGGATAAGGTCACCATAATTTTGTGCCATTCTCTAACAGGCAATAAAACATTTACACATGTTTCATAGGGAAGAGAGAACTTAATATATAGCAAGGAGTTCACCACCTGCACATAACTACTGGAATAAAGGTTAGGACATTCAGAGTCACCAGTCTGCACTGATCACTGCCTCCTCATGGCCCGCTGCGTAAAGTGGATGTTACAATGGCTTTGCAAGTCCGAAAGGCCAGCGTACACGGGTATCTCTAAGCTTTAACACCTTGATAGCTGGGGACAGAGTTTTACCATCGTGTGATGAATTGTTTTTTCCAGCACACAACCCTGTGGCACTAGTTTCTGAAAACTAAGCTTGCAAGGTATGGTAGGGCATATTTACAACTAGAGTGGTAGAGGACACCAGCACCCTGCTCCTCATTTGGAACAAAATTGTAGAGCAGATAGACTGAACAATAGCCAATACCCAAACCAATTATTTTCAAACCCCGACAGCAGACACGTAGATCGCTCACCTCTGTTACCCAAAGGGCCAGTTTCTGAAAGCAGTGAGTAGGCACAGCAGAAGGGAAATAGATTTATCCTATAAAATTACTTGGGGGTGAGAGGATAGTTGTTGCCAGTGATTAATAAGGTCTAGGGAAAAAAGTGCATGGAAGGATGAAAACGGCAGCAAAGGAAAAGCCTCCTGCACCCAGTTATTGGGAATAATACCAGCCATCAGCCCGTAGATGGCAGAGCGTCTCACTCCACATCTGAAACATTTTCTTCCTTTTCAATGTACCAGCACTATTTCATACATCTTTTCAAAGGCAGGAGTACAAAATGGTCTGCGGCTTGTTGTCTAGCTAGCACTGGGGCTAAAAAAAAAAGACCAGCTTTCTCACTCAGTAGAGGAAAATAAGGGGGCCATTAGTCACACCCACAGCATCAAAAGCAGTGAGCAACCATTACTGCTTCATTCTGTATTTGGGTAGCAGGTGCCATTAATATTCAGAATAACCCATGCAGGAGGTCAGGAAAATTTAGTTTCACTGGCATTTAAAACTACCATCACATCTGGGACCTGCATGGTGACTTATGTTCTTACAGTGACTTAATGTATGTACCAGTGAACTGGGTTCTCCCAAACTTACTGTAAAGACGCTGCACATGGAGAATTTAAAGCCTTGCACACAAGCTACCGTAAGACAGCCAATTCCTCGGATGATGTCTGAGGCCAAACGCTGCCATGCCTCGTGTGATGGGATCAGCCCTGAGCAGGCTACAAAGTCCTTACCCGAAGGGCCGGACAAGCATTAGGAACATCAGACTTGTGAACTTTGCGGAGACTGGGGCTACCCCTAGGAAGCCAGATGCTAAAGCTTCCTTTTCAGGGAAGGGAAAAAAGTAACCCTGGGAAACAACCTCATTGATTATGCAGAGCTAGAGACCAGCTGTGGGACTTTACAGATCCAGCTCACAGTCAACTATCCGGGGGGGGATCTACTCTCTACCAGAGAAAACAGCAGCTCGCTTGTTAAGGCTCAAATCAGCACATGCATATGCTCTTCTCAGGCTAGGCCAGACAGTTAGGAATGGCCTGTGGAACAGACCTCATACAGAGAAATGCCATGAGAACTGGGTGCAGCAGTGGTTGCAAGACCTAATGTGTATAGAGCAGTTCAGATTGCCACACCAGCCTCTCTGACCGGTAAAGCCTGTGCCCCAAGACAGGATCTGTGTTGAGCGGTAACAGAAGAGCACGTATCAAGATCTTATGGCACACTCGGGGTCCACCTCCAACATTTCAGGAGAAATTAGAAACTGGCGCTGCTCCGAGACTGCAGCTCCTATATCGCTGTCCCTGGCTTAGCCTGCTGGTAGAGTGAGCGCGCAGAATCCGGATGAAAGGTGGAGAGCGGCATGGCAGGAGCCCCTCAGAAGGCAATGAGGTTTTTGGGTTTTTTTAGCAAATGCTAAATCAGAGACCTACAGCAACCACAAGCTCAATGAACATAACAGGCCTGCTGCACGGGGCACGAGGACCTGGAACATAGCTACCACCACCGGTCTTTTAATGCTGGGAGAAGCCGCTTGCTCTTTTAGCTGGAACATCCGGCGATATGCAACCGAGATGCCCATTTGCGGTCCCCGATAAGCTTGTACAAAACCCTGCTCCATGGCATTTGCGTTCCTTTCATACTATGCCTGGGCACACTGCAAAATGCGCCTTATTTACTGGCTAGGTGAACAGTGAAAAAGGAACAAGTTATGCTATTGGCTTGTACACTATTCCAATTAAACAGATTGCCCAGATGCAAATTTAAGTTTTTTGTATTTGTCTGAACTCCAAATATGAGCAGCTTTATTCATGAAGTGAGTTAATGAACTGTTGCACAAAACATCTTTTTATTTTTAAAAATAAATTTTAGGACATCATCATCTTTTTTGTTTAATCCCTGCAAGGTCATCTTGTATTTGCATGATATAATTAACATGTGCAATAGTCAGAAGTCTGGCTGAGGCCTACGCTGTGGTCAGGTTTACGTCTGGCCTCCTAAATCCATGTCCTGCAGGCATTGAGAGCAACTCAGATTTTTCAAAGAGGCCAACACGCTGGGTACTGCAGTGTGGTGGGAGAAGGCATCAGGACATGTACACATATAGGAGCAAACATGGTTTTGCCCAACTTCAGGCAAGTATTGAAAATCTGCTAGCTCTTTTAGCAGCCTGAATATTTCTCCTTAGCAAGAAAAAGAAAAAAAAAAAGTGGTGGTCAGAGACACTTTGGCACTGATTGGAGCAAATGGAGAAGCAAGATCTGATCAGCTTACCCTAGAGGTAAATGGGGCTGAAAGGCAAAATTAGACACTTACACAAGCCTCGAGGCCACTAGCAAGAGAAAGACTCTACAAAAATAATCCTTCATGTTTTTCAGCAGTGGGCAATACTTCTAAACTTGAGCTGGGAAGGAGATAACTTTGTCACTCCAACCATGATCTGAACCTTGTCATTGGTATAGTGGTAGAAAGAAAGAAAGGAGCTGCCCCCCACCCCCGTTTGAATTATTTAACGAATGTTGTTAGAGATTTGTTTAAGTCAAGAAATGCAATCTTCAATTATATGCTGAGCAGCCACATAGTCTCCATGCCAAACCTGCTGCTTGAAAAATCAGAAGTTTGCTAAATCTTCCCAAAAAATTCTTGGTAGAAAGAAATTCACAGGCGATCCGTCTGGACACTGACTAGCGCCCCAGGAGTGCTCCAACACAACAGGCCTGAGAAGTGACACTGCGACTAGGGACAAAAGTTACACAAACTGCTATAAGTAATTGGAAACTGGTTCAAATCTGTAACCAAAACAGAAGTTCAGTGCACATAAACTTCTTTCAAGATGGCCAAAACCGGTTTAAAATACACCTGGATGGATATAGCATCAGACAAACTGATTTAGCCCATCCCAGATGCCCTCCAGATTCAAGTTAACTCTCAGTCCCCCAGCATCTCAGGATGCTTTGCATCTCCCCTGCATTCCCCCCTGCCCTCGTACCTTTTATTTGAATGTCTCTCCTGTTTTCTGACTGGTGGGAGGGCAGTAAAATTTCAAGCAAGCTTAAGGGACAGGCAAAAAGTGACAGGGGATGAGGGGAAACTCTTGGCCCTGAGAAATCTCCGACTTGTGTGGTGGGAAAAGACTTCTCACCATCTGCTAGTGGCAAGAGAGAGGAAGCATCAGCAGCATGGTCAGATGGTGCAGATCAGATCAGGCTCCTGAACGCAGAATCAGCAGAGGTTTGTGACTGGACTCCGAGGCTAAGAGACAAACGGTTCGATTCAGATTTGAGCGCTTAGTCTTGCAACAAGCCCAGACTCACAGATGGACAAGCCCATATTGTCCCATGTTCATTACTTGGGATGTATCCAAATTAAATGCATGGCCTCAGAATAAACCGCAGCTAATTCGAGTCAATGGCCAGTTAAACCTCGTGTGTAAATGACTGTTCTGTGCCTGTTTCAATGGGAGTCAAATCTCAGACTAATCAGCCCCAGATTAAACCAGTCGTCTGCTCTTAGCCCAAGGGAATACTGTGTAATAATAGGTTATTTCTATTTATGACCATCCAGGTAGTGGTCTTTTCAGCTGAGCTGTGTGTCATGTGCTATACTCAGCTGGAAACTGGATGCTTATGACTGATCTCATCTCGCGAGGGCTAAAGTGGCCATTAGGCAGTGAGTAATATTGATTAGGAAGAGACCTGAACTGAACTGGGGAAGTCGAAGGGTCACAGCAGAAGTTTCCCATTGCCTCTATGATGCTGTTCCTTTGTTACAATGCAAATTTTCCATTATTCTGTTGGCCAAATAATAGAAAACCCCAACTAAATATGCTCTGTAAATGTGAACAGTCGCAGTCTGAGCTGGGCAAGATTCACAATAGGTTTTTGTTGTTTTTTTTTTTTTTTTTTTTAATTTATTTTTCTGTTGACATCTTGGGGAAAAAAAAAAGAAACTCAAGGACTATTATTTAGCTGCCCATGGAAAAAAAAGCACAAATCTGAGGAAATACTGAGGAGGAAAACACACTGCGGATAAACAAGTGCTAGCATTTGTCCCACGAACTGACTTTGTGGCTCAGGTTAGAAGTCAGCAAGTCCGAAGCCTGACACAGATCAATGAAAAAAAACAAAACACCAGCTTGTCTACAGCCTCTGTCCGGGGCCACTGAGACTCCAGCAACGTGGCATTTCCCAGCGAGCTGCAAACAAACAGGACACTGGCTTCTAGTAAATAAGTTTTTGTTTTCTATCCCAAGGAAAGAGAAAAAAAAAGGTCCCAACAATAGTGGGACCAGCACCACTCAC